AGAATGTATAGAATGCGTATGTTGTGTCAGTTACAGTACAGAAACGTATATTATTATATTGTTTGGTATATTGCTTTAACTGCTTTAGCTTAAAGCTGGGTTACAGTCGATTCTGCGCATGTGTGGGCTTTGTTTACATCTTTTGTTTTGGTTTGGATCCACTACAATTGTATTATATGAAGTATACGGCTATGTACTAAACAAATTATAAATGAAGGAACCAGGAGAGAAGTTATTTTTTTTTAAATTGTCTTCTGAAAGACAAGCAATTAAATATTTTAACAGACCACCAATGAAAGATATATTGTTGATTAATTCGGCATTTTTCTTTCGTGTGCTTCGTTAATGAAATATCCGGAAGAGGCCGACACGGCAAAGCCAAAGGTGCGAGTTCGCAACTCATTGTAAGTATTTTGAATATAATGTTCGGCATTGTAAAATAAACTTTGGAAGTGCCAAAGTAATCATGAACCTTTTCTTGGGTTATTGGTTCGTCGAAACACACTATCAGAGTCATTGTTGCTGACATGGGAGAAGCACTCGGAGAAATTAAGCTTTTCGCTGGAAGATATATGTGGAGACGATATGTTGATGTCGTGGCTTCTGTTTTTCGATAGAGGGCCTGCAAAGGTATGGGTAGTTTTTGCTCAAGCGCATGCCACGAATAGGATTTTGATACATGTATGAACAATCGAAGGGTTCAAGAACGTGAGAGTGACGAGACGGTAAGTTTGTACAGTATTATTGCTATTAGTTTGTATTGACACTGTTCGCTATAAACGTGATTCGATTCACACATGTACATGTAATCTTATTATTTTCGCTCATTGTAGTTTATAGAATATCATGTAATGTTGTTAATTGTGACTGTTCTCTCTAAACGAAGGATAATGATCATCTAACAATAGATGAATAAACTTTGTTTACATAGTTTAATACTTTGCCTGCCAAGAATATGCACAGACATACAGTGTACATTTGAGTGACAGTACATTTTCTGAAAGCTTTAACACATATTTGTTTTATTACATACTCTGCATAATTATGCATATCCTTGCCGAGTAAAATATCAAATTATGTAAAAAGAGTTTACCCATCTATACAAGTCTATAGAGGAATTTGTGGTGTAAATATCAATGTTTCACTGTGCCTGAGTCTTTGCTTTTAATTAATTATAAATATCTTAAATTACATTTCAGATCTTATGGAAGCAATGGATTTAATTTAAAATGCCCTAAGAGCATCAGCCTAAATGCCCTATACAGCATCAGCCAGCTACATTTGCTGATTTGGTTAAGTAATGAAGTGCCAGGTGCACCGATTCAACCAGACCCAGAGGAAAACCCAGAAAATGTCCCAGAGTGTTGCGAATGTGGATGCTGTGTTGCAATGCCAACACAATTGGAAAACAAATTATGTATACAAACAATACAGCCTTGCATGACCCTAGTACTTGATGGAAACATTCTGGACCTGACCATGCATTACAGGGCTGGGAAAACTGTTTAGTGTTAAATAATGTTAGAAACAATGAAAATTTTCACCATGCTGCTTACAAACAACATGTACTCTGGCAACATGAAAAGATAATGAAGTGGGAACAGGAGAATGATTCCAAGCTGCTGTGTTACAGCAATACGGAAACAATATCCTTCTCCACATGGGATATACTCGGCTAGATTGTAAATATTTGTTGCACATGTTGTTATTATGTTATTGATCATTGAAAACTTTATTATTTCATTAACCCATTAAGCGCCAGCGCTCTCCCCTTGAGAAGTAAAATCATCTGGCGTTAGACAGAGTGAAATTCTAAAGTAGGGCGCAATGCAACTCAATGGGTTAAACCATTTTACTACAATCATCTCCCCATGACAGGGAGAATCATTTTAAATATTTTGAAAAAACTTGGATAATTCCCACCTGCATGCATGTTAAGACCCATTCACACAAGTGATTTTAATAATTAAACTGCAATTTTCTCCTTTCGGGATACTGTATGTAATTTAGCAAAATTACAGGAAATATTTCTTTGCATGGCTTAGCTCATATATTCGTTGTGATATTCACTCAAATACATGCACCAAAAGAAGAAAATTGCAGTTCAAAATTGCTTGTTTGAACTAGCCTTTATAGCTCCATTGCTTTAAACTCATTTTAAGCTTTCTCTGTCTGCTAAACACAGCAAATTCTGCTAACAAATGAGAGCCTTTATCATGTTAATTGGTTGAATCTTTATGAACAGTAATATTTCATTTTATAAAAGACAAGTTATCAAATGCATTGGATGTTCCTGCACAACATTTGGTACTGATGTTGATATTTTTATTCTATAAAATTACTCCTTGCTCCTTACTTCATGAGCTCCACCTACAGTACCCAGCAGTTTTAAGTGATAGGTTCCAACAAGTTCTTTGACTGAAGGAGGAGGGACAGGGGCTACTGTATGTTAGGGGCACATTGCCTTTGGTCATCACTTCCAATACCAATCCCTATACCTAAAGAAGACTTATAATTAGTTTTATTCCTGTTTAAATGCACATTAGTGCCTGCTGAGCAATGTGTTTTAAAAGCATTTAAATTAATCAAGCCAAATTTTGATTTTATTACTGCATGTTCATTCAAAAAAGCATTTAAGTGCTCTAATTAATGCTCTAAACATATCATTCAGCAGGTGCTACTGTGCTACTTAACATGCCAACGGAATGATCAAAAGATTTGTTTGCAAATGTGATAAGAAAATGGATTTCACAATAAAAACCAAAAGTCATATTTTTTCTCACCAGGATTCAGGAAAGCATAAAATGTTATATATATACCTTCATTGTAAGTTGTATAATGTTTCGTACTGCTTAGGAGTAAGAATCTTTACATGATTCAATCACTGTTTCCCTTGCTGAACATATACTGAAAATATCCTTGCTGAACATATACTTGCTGAACATTGTCTGCATAGCTGACAATGGCTCATGGCTGCATTGTTTCATATGTCTGCTGAACGGTCTGGGTTTCCACAGCGCTATAAGTGCACAGTAAACTTTTGTAATAACGAAATATAACAATATTAATATAATTGAAATATCCTGGAATATCTGTTATGTACTTACCACAATAAACAATCAAATCTGTCTAGATGTTTCGTATACAAGCTCGATCAGCCGAGTTTCGCGAACCGCCGAACGCTCGTCACTTGACACTTTTGATTCCAGCTTCAGTTTTGTCTTTTGAAATGATTCCACCGACCAATACTACAATTTCGATGCATACCTTTTCGCGAAATATTCTTTTCGATTTCCTGGTTGGTTCGACTGGCGACCAGAAATGCATTAGAGGGATTTGCCTTTGAAACTCTCAAGTAGATGGTCGCGAGTCGGCCATTGTCAACTTTGCTGTAGTGTGTTGAAATTGATATTTGATATGCATTTCCATTTGTAACAAGAGCTTACTTATCCAATGACTGGGGGGATCGAATTCATATTAATTTTGCCAATCCAGCACCACAAAATACTTTCACGTTTAGTTTCACCGAGCAAGATACACAAGCGGCTTCATACATATTAGTTTCTGTTTGATTTTGAAACAATTGCACAACGGAATAACTAATATTTGTAAACACACTTTAGATACATCTTTTTAGATATAAAGTTTCTTTTTTGACCGTATTTCTTGCTTTGATGAGAATATATAAGCGAGTTAAAAACAATTAGAATTTTCGCACTCCTGTGCGTCAGCCATCTTCTCTGAAATGCTAACAGTTTATAGTATTACGTAATATTTTTCTATGACAATGTTTACAAAATGTGTACACATTTGAGACATGCGCAGAATCGACTGTAACCCAGCTTTAAGTTTTATCTAATAGTTATTATTTAATATGACAATATATTACGTTATATGAGTGTGATTTGTGTTATTTGGTACAAGATTTTTACAGTCTTTTAAAATTATCCGGGGGGCTCGGGCCACCCCTCGCCCCCTCCCCCTAGTGTCCGCCACTGCTTCTCTTCATTAAATATTACATAATATGAAGGTGCAAGCTAACTGTAATAACCTTGTAGGGTTAGACGAGACAGTTAAGACGCAATTATTTTTAAATATTTAAAATTTTACATATGAGATATCAGTACTTGCTCCGAGCAGCTACAGAAAGATCATACGTTGTACTTCTTATTAAATGTCTTCCATTCAATCACAATTCTTGAAGCACAGCACTGACCATGCATTAGGTTTTTAGATAACCAAGAAACAAAATTTCATTAAACATGTCAAAAAGTGGGGAGGGGATAATTAGATATTCGTCCCCCCTACTCCAAAAACTGGGGGGACATGTCCCCCCCATCCCCCAAGGATTGACGCCCATGCCCATGTATTTTTCTGTTTATTATATAAAGGGCAACAATTTTGCCAGGGAATGTCCGACTGGCTATCCCTGTGATGCTGTCCACTGTTCACCCAGTGTTCTTTTAAGTGAATGTGCTAGCTGCTCAAAAATGCAAAATCTTTCAAGCCTGTGGATACAATACTGAAGTGAAAAGCTTCAGTAGATTTACATGCAAGAATATTTTTTTGAGCGCCCCTTTTTGCATGATATTTTTTTTCTCGATTGTATGCTGCATGATTTTTTCTTTCTTTCTCCTTGGGTTGCAGGAATATTTTTTTTGAAATCTTCCAACCCCCCCCCCCCAAAGTCAAATTATCCGCCCCTTAGGTACAATGCTTGTGGTATATCGTATCTGCATGTATGACAAAATGTGTCACTTCGCCGCCATTATTTGCCTGCACTGTAAACGGACATATACGCTTCTTTGGAAAATTGGAAATTAAAATCTGCTCCATTTTTTAATGTACTTTTTTATTAAAAAATTTACTGGTCACGTATGTCCGCCAGGCGACAAGATTTGCCGGTCAAACTGTGACTTTTTACCGGTCAGTGACTGGCACTTATTTCGAGGCCTTGGCAGAACACAAATATATGAATATACCCCCCACCCCCCCCCGACCCCAATTATCGTGCTAGGAATGGCCCTGCCTTCACCATACTACCATTGCCACCATCGCCACCGCTGTCTCACTATCTCAACTGCTACTGCTGCATATATATTGTACTTGTACTATCCTGCAAATTTTATTTTTTTAGAGCAATATTATTAATATGAAAACAACCATTATATATCACAAATATTATTGGCTTGCTACCACCGCCACCATCGCCACCTTCGCCTCACTACCTCAACTGCTACTGCTGCATATATATTGTACTATCCTGCAAATTTTATTTTTTTAGAGCAATATTACTAATATTAAAACAACCATTATATATCACAAATATTATTGGCTTGCTACCACCGCCACCTTCGCCACCACTGCCACCACCGCCTCACTACCTCAACTGCTACTGCTGCATATATATTGTACTATCCTGCAAATTTTATTTTTTTAGAGTAATATTATTAATATTAAAACACCATTATATATCACAAATACTATTGGCTTGCTACCACCGCCACCTTCGCCACCACCGCCTCACTACCTCAACTGCTACTGCTGCATATATATTGTATTTGTACTATCCTGCAAATTTTATTTTTTTAGAGTAATATTATTAATATTAAAACACCATTATATATCACAAATACTATTGGCTTGCTACCACCGCCACCTTTGCCACCACCGCCACCACTGCCACCACCGCCTCACTACCTCAACTGCTACTGCTGCATATATATTGTATTTGTACTATCCTGCAAATTTTATTTTTTAGAGCAATATTATTAATATTAAAACAACCAATATATATCACAAATACTATTGGCTTGCTACCACCGCCACCACCTCAACTGCTACTCTACACCTCTACCAGTACTGCCACACTACTGCCACACTACTGCCACACTACTGCCACACTACTGCCACACTACTGCCACACTACTGCCACACTACTGCCACACTACCACAACTGCTATATATATTATACTATATATTATACTAGCCTTACTAGATTCAGTACATTGTAAAATTTCTTAAAAAATAGAGTATTAACCTTTATAATTCAGCAATATCAATGCATTGCTAGGTCGACCATAGCATCCACTTGCATTTATAATTAAACTCATAAATCGAATGAAATATGTCCAAGAGTGTAATGTAATTATGTTGATATCAAAGTGTATGACGATTCATTTTCACTATTATTGCCCCATTTTTAGCAATAAATTAATATTTAATGTGTTAGTTAATGTTTGAATAAGCTTTTATCAGAACTCGATATGATTGGCCGACCACCACGACCACCACATTACACCTATGAACCAATCAGCAACAACCTTTGAAACAGTGCGACCTCACTCAAAGAATGACTGTAATTTTAAAAATTAAATATGCATATCAAAAACAATAGTTTTTATTAGAATAACACATAATAAGTTGTTATTTTCTATTTTTACAAAAACAAGTTTGGAAACAGAATCTAGTCGTCCAGTTTTATGTCATATTCCATTTATTTGGATATTTGAATAAAGGAATGTGAAATAATAATTGAAACTTGTCCAAAATTTGATACCAACACTCAAGTGAACAGATACTATCACCTAAAAATAAAAGAAAACACAACTTAAATTTGTCATATAATGCTATGAAAAAGTCTTAGATACTACAGGCATATAGTGAGCACAATGCTTCAACAAACTCACTAAAATAAGTTAAGTTATGCTATGATAAGAGGATGGCAATATATGACAGCATCAAATGTTACCATCTTCAGTGTCCAAAAAAAGTGCCGCGCGCATTTTTCCCAGCATACCCACTAACTTTTCCATGAAGGTTGACTAATAAGGATAATTTTAAGCCATATTTCGGAGAGAGGCAATGGTAAAAATTTGAAGATATTTTTATTTATATGGCTTATCACCACAGAATTTCACAAAGCAAGCATGCCTATATTCAGGATTGCCGTTAGACTCTTAAAACTGAACAAATCAATGCGGCATTTCTTATCTCATAACAACCAATACTTGAACATTTTCAAAATCACTTTTGCAGCAATTTTTACTTTATAACAAACCAATACAGGAGCAATTTCATAAGCATGTGACAACATGACATTTTCACTTCACAAGTGGATTTGTCAATTACAACATCTAGCACATTTTTCCCATGAATAGCTCAGGTTTTAATAAAACAAAGTATCATTTAACTTTCATAAAATATATTTTCTAACTGAAGGCAACGGCCAGTTTTTACGAAATTGCAAGAGGAATATGTGTCATTTTCATCAAAATATGTATTTTAAGACACTTATTATTCCAGATGAGGAAGAACAAACAAATTATTGAACATACCTGTGGAAACAACAACAACTCAGCTTCTATCAAGAGTAAAATATGAACACTTCCTTGTTTCCATACTGCTGTACCCTGCTTCTGAAACTCTGACAATGAGTGAAACATTTGCACTTGTCGCCCATTTGTAAATAAAAATTCTTCGCACGTTTTCATGCGATTAAGTCGTTATATCGTTGCGTACAAGCACTACAACTTAATCTTTCAAGAAACACTTTATTTGCCATGAACAAACCAGTAAAAGAGGACAAAAAATCCTCTCACAATGCATATTTTCAGCGTTCGAAGAATCAAAATGTTTGTTAAAGAAATGCGCCCGCAATATTTAGACAGCGACAACAGAATGCCCAGCTGTTGCCTTCACCAAGATTA